GGACAATACAGTATGTTTCCAAAAAATCCTAATTTGTGTTTAGGAGAGAGTATCTTTTAATAAGCATCTCCATAACTGCATCCATGAGGGGAGGTCAAGGTGTGGCAGGTTGCTTTTACACAAAGGATTGGTCGTCCACAGGCGAGCAATGAAAAAGGCGAACATTTGAGGGCCCGAAAATGAACACTGCCGCTACTTTTGTTGATTTGGCATTCACACGGCTAGCCATTTTTCAGGGAGGAAATTCAAGTGAAGCACTCCCAAGTACTCATGGAGCACTAAAGGCAATTTCCCCTCAGTCAAGTGGTTGAAACCCTCTCCAGCTGAACAACTTCCTGCATTTAGTCAGCATCCCCCACCGACACCCCTGCTCCATCATCGCCCTGCTTAGCTGGCATCAGTCACAACCTCTCAGCAGGTCGCTGCTCCTTCCAGAATAATGACGACGGGGCTACGACCACAGGATGTAATCTGGAACCAAATGAGAAACACAGCACTGAAAGTCAGGGCTGGAGGCCCAAAATGTGGCTTTAAGTTTAGATATTTCCCTAACATCTCATGTTGTGTTTTCTGTGCTGTTGTGCCGCCTCAACAAGACAGCAAGTCTTGCTCCAGATTTCCATATTTTACAGTGATGATGATTCAGAGAGTTGACAAGTGTTGATTGGAGAGTTACTACGGCTTTTGGGATGACTGTTCAAAACTATAAGGAGTGTTAAATTAACTCTGATGAGTGTGTACTTCCAGATGCACCACCAAAGTGATGATATTTATACTCAGAGTGCAATTTACACTGAGAATTTTTCTGTGAAGGATCTCAGAGAAAACATAAGCACATGGTGTAATTATGCAATCAGAAGATTATCATTGTGTCTTATAAATGAGGAATGCAAAGATGTAAATTGACAAAGTATATTTTCTCTTAAGTACATAAAGTTTGGTACTGTTTTATTTTGATTCTGACACCTTTTTGACATTATGGTTTTCAGTCATGCATTAAGACACATATACAAATAGTCTGCTTGGAACAATAATGTCTGATAATGTCTTTTCTGCAAAAAAAAGGTATAATTTCCACATTAAAATCTTTAAAATGCATCTGCTCCTTCTGACTCATTAAAAATCCCAGATTCTATGAATATGCAAATGTTGTTCATTAAAGTTTTCCTGCTGGACACAAGATGTCTCCTCACTGTATACTCAGTTCTCAGTGTATGTGCACTGGTGGCTTTATCACACTTCCAAACCATTTGTGATGTAACAAATAATGCTCGTAGTCCCCGCTCCTTAAACTCTGTCAAACTCTGCACATAAATCATTCTGCACAGTGAAGATCAAACATTCAACTGCAGGAACAAGAATATGACATATTTTTGACTAGAGGGGGACTTTAAGGGTAATAAATCACTAGGTTGAGTCCACATGGATCACAATAGTGATGAAAAGATGAATTTTTGTTCAAATGAGTATCCATCTTATCAGACTCTGATGTCCTGTCACTGTGTCAGATCCCCATGGTGGTTTTAGCTTCGGCCCATTACGGCCTCCACAGGGCTGTGAGCCGGTTGAGGGGTCCCACAGGGGACCAGGAGGTCCTGAGGGAGGCTATTAACCCATTATGTTCACCTCCACAGCAGTGTTACGGACAACAATCACATACAAGCTGGAGGCTGAGCCACAGGAGGCCACAGCTGCTTAGAACAACCCTGTGTAGCCCGAGGCACCGATCAGTACCATTCCCATGTCGTGCCTTGCTCAAGGGCCAGATATAGAGAAGTACGGTGATAAGGTCAAGAGTATAATGTGGCCTCTTGGATTTATATGTCGTCTTCCATTGAAGAAAAGTGGGAAATCATGTATAATTACATTGTAATCAAGCAAGATCACAGCCAGGATTTTACAAAAATCATTTTCAGTTTTTTTAAATAATGTGTTCAGCTTGCAGTAATATTTCCAGACACATTCCTTAAGTGAAAGGGTTTATTCTTGTAACGCAAATGTTACTTTACATAGAGGCAAAGAAAGCAGGCCCCTTTTTGAGTTGAGAATGAAGTACTTTATATTGGACACTGTTCATTTTATTCTATTCTGTCTGGCATCTATGAACATATTCTTTCAGCCACACCCCAAAAAAAAACATAAAACTTGTAAGTAACATATGACATATCGGAGATGAAGCCTAAAATTCCAAATAAAAGGAGATGTCTACTGATCAATATCCCAGCAGGTCATTTTCACACCTAATTGTCCCCTAAAATTGAAAGTTACATATAGTGACAGACAAAAACAAAATAAAGAGAACATGAGCTCAGTGTCCTCAAACTACAGGCCTGTAGTTATTTTATCTGAATAATACCGTAAAACCAAAATGAGGAATTGAGTCTGAATGGTGTTCTGTGCAGTAAAAACTTCTTCTAAAGCTCTACCCTGAATGATCATTTAGGTCAGTTTTTCTACAGCTTTTAATTACATGTTATAAGGCAGTCATTATTACACTAGCTTGCTATAGAATATATCTTAAGCAACAGAAATTAAAACAATTAACATTTCATCTAATATAATGATAGCTGTGGTACGGGCTTAAATACCACAAAAGTCTCCTATTTTTATTTTTCAAGGCCTTCAACATATTGCAGGTATGATGCCAAACAAGCACATCTCCGGAAGACATATTAGACAAAAGAATAATTACCATAATCATGATTATTTTTCTCTGCATTTTAATTAGCCCTATGAAGCTCAATTAAGCTCTTCAGTATGAGCGCCTATTCAGTAAACAGCTGTCCACCTGTCTTCTCGTTCCTGGGAAAAGGCTGCGGCGCCTGTTCACGCCGAGGTACCATCACCAGATTTGGTGGGGGTCAGACGAGGCCCCTGCAGCCTGCAAGGGGCCCTCTGTATGAGGGGTGATTAATGCCATAGAGATGTAGGCAAACAGGAAGGATATCATTAAGATATGCTAATAGCTTGCTAACCAAAGGTAAAACTTAAGAAAGATAGTCATCAAAAACAGACTTAAATCATTTTTGATTATAGATTTGAGAAACATGCAGGTTTTATAAGGAATATAGATGTGATTAATAATACTTTTAGAAATAACTGTGGAGAAGTAGTAATTTCAATTCCTAATGTACTGAGTATGATTTGTAAGATGATATTGATGATAATAAATCCTGTAAAAATCTAACACTTGGAAGGCTTAAAATCTTATAGTGACAACAGTGGACAAAGGTATCGTGGCATCATTCAAGTTTTGCTTTATTGAATCAGCAAGTGGCAAATTGCTCATTACAAGGCTTAGCTGTGTGTAACATACATTTTATTGTACATTATGCCATCTGTTGACACATGTTCTGGGATATTCTTGACACAATTTGAAATATCCAGTATTTTTTGGCCTCCATTCGTGAAGGGTTTCAACACAGGGCAAATGTCTGTATATAAAAGTAGAAAGGAGAATGTTGTGGTTCCAGGGATATAAGAAACATGTTGATGGGACATCCTGAGCTTTAGTACTATCCGCATATTGACAGTAGGGATGGTGAGAGTCACCGATTTATGTACAAAGTGTGCACAGCAAATAATTTTAGATGGAATCGGGTGTGTAGTTTGTAACATTTTTGCATTGGTAAAATCTGATTTATTTATTAACTATTAGTAGAGGCCATGTGCCTTTATTATGTGGAGATGTGACCAAAAATGTTATATTGCTTTCTCCTCTCTCAACTGTTTCTCTGGCTGCTTAAGATAGCTGCTTTCATATTTTGCATTGTATTACATTAAATCACATTTTGTTTAATTAAAATGTATTGAATCGCACTGCATCGCAATGGGGTGAATCATATTGTATCGCATTGCTTCATATGTATCTGTGTGTATCTTATGTATGATGCACATCCCTAACTGAACTAAAAACTAAACTAATTTCCATAATTTTGTGTCTCCTGTGTTTGTATTTTCTTTTTTTGGTTGGGATTAGTATGTTTTGGCACAGTTCCTGCAATGCTTTGGTCAGCAAAGTAGCTGTGACTCCAAATTTGCCTGTACTTTATTGAACCTGCACCATGAAGAACCACACTGCCCCACACAGCATTAGCTGCCAGCACTTCCTGTATGCACTGTAACCATGGAAATACACAACATTACTTTTGGTACTGGAGAAAAAGTCTGACGTTGATGATTGTGAGCATGTTTTACAAATTCACTCATTTACAGTGAGTGATTTTGTGGATGATTACCATCAATGGACAATGGAGAATTCTGCTCTCACTGAGGATAAACTGCAGGGATTAATGGTTGCCGGGGGTTAACCTGTGAAGTGATTCATGAGAGAACAACTTAGTAAAAGGTATTTCAGTAACAATGCTTCTTAATGCTTCTGTGTTTCTTAGAGCCATCTTTAGAATGAATCTTGTTCATTCTTAGCCTCTGCAAACGTAAGACAAAGTGATCACGAGTCCCTGGAAGTGTTTTTCCTGCCAGATCAAATTGAATGGTTAGTTGTTGATGATGCTTCCTCCTCTTCCTCCCCCTCCTCCTCCTCAGTGGCATTAATCACCCCTCATAGAAAGGCCCTGAGGAGACCATATCTAACAAGGACACCCGCTTTCTTCGGCTGTTTGATCCCCGAAAGTGAAACTGTGTAAATTACTCGGTGAGAGACAAACCCCATCTGGATTAGAGGCATTAACCCCTTCCGCTGTGATTGCTATGCAGTCATTAAGCCTTCAAGAAAAAAAAAAGGACTAATGATGACTGGCCTTCATCATTACTAACAGAGACTTGATTGCATAGCCACTTGCCTCTCTCCTACATGTAATAAAATTACTGAATTATGATAATAACAGGAACAGGAAAAGAAATCAGGAATTTATGGATTATTCCCTGAAAATGTTTTTTTTTTCATGTGTGAATTATGATGATCACTGACTGGATGACTTCTATTTGTATTTCATTTACCCCAGTACAGTTTAATATTGCATTTTAAATGAGACACAACACACACTTGAACAATTTATTTTGCCAAAAACTAATCCAGTATGTTTCAAAATACTTTCAGTTCACATTAATTGTTTCAGCCGATGCAGCCATCATCTTTAGGCCAATCTAAAAGTGATCTGTCATACAAAGGTACATACCTGAACCAACAGTAACATTTCTATTCTAACTAATCATAAACAGTTTAATACGAAAAATAAAATCATAGAAAATCCCAAACCTAAAGTATCAGGAGGTAATTTATACATAAAAAAGATCATTAGGCCTCTGCATTGTTTTGCATGAAAATTCTTTATTTAAAATAAAGAAAATTGTAAAAACAAAATTGGTTTGCTGTGAAAATGTAATCCATTTAAAAAATGTATATTTCCCAAGACTCATTGAGGCCGTTCCTATTGAATGGAGTCTGTTTGTCTTTGGTTTGAACCGGCTGCGGAAATTTAATTCTGTAACCGTGTCTTGGCCTGGTTTAGGGGACAATTAGACAGCATCTTTCATCAAATAGACACATCATTTCCCAATGCAGTCTTTCACAGGCCTGTAGCACGGCGTGTCATAGCTCTAGATCGACCTCTAGTGGGCAAAGCTGACAAAAACCTTTAAAATGGAGATTAGTTTTATTTTTGCAGAATAAAAAAAGTTTTTTTTCTCACCTAAAAACACATGTGGTGGTTGACATGAGCACAATGAGGCACTTTTTTTTTAACAACCTAAAGGGTGTAATACTCAAGTACTACGATGTTAAAACCTCACAGTGTGTGTGTAATTCTGTCTCTGTGTGTGTGCGTCTAACTGTTGAGCTTCTCAGACTCCTCCATCCTCACAGCGGTCGACTGGCCGTCATGATCCGCTTCCTCTCCAGGCACCTGAGACAGCGAGCGGGAAAGAGAATGAGATCATTGAGGGTCTATATTTTTATGACCTCATCTGGTCCTCAAACACCCTTCCATTTTCCAGACTAAATACAGTCTAATTGACACTTTCCAAGGTGCACATTAGTTGATGCTTCCGTTTTATGTCATTAATTTGTCTCTAAATGTCAGCGTCCTCCAGGTCTCTGTGAAGCCCTGCATGTAGTGAGCATTTGCCTTTTGTTCCCCTTTCAGACATTTATTAAAAAGATAAACAAGGATAAAATTGGACTTAAGGATGGAAAACAGCTGCAGTGAATTACTTATTATTTGATGCCATTTATGCACACAAAGTACAGATAATCAATCAAATATTAATAAAAAAAGACTAATGGAACAAAAACAATTTCAAGGGCTTATAAAAATACAGAAGTGCATTTTATCTTCATCTGTATGTTCAGTGTCTAAAGATGAGGTTCATATTGTATTTATGAATTAACCATTCAATATAATGATGAGAAATAAAAATGAGAAAATGCCTCTTTTTAAGGACAATTATACAAAAAAACGAAAAGACAAAAAGAGGCATAAATCTGCATGTACTTCTGCAAACTGCATGATACTATACATAGCACCATGTGCTCTTATAAACCTGTAAAACAAAAGCATGATGAGCCACAGATTGCATTGTGGGGGAAATTCAATGACGTCAGCCCAAAGTGAAAAGGTGTGACATCATCCAGGAGGGATTGTTCCTGTAATCCACCTGGTTGGAACCATCACGCGGTGGGGCGTTTGCTCCACCTGGTGGCCAGACAGCACTGCTGCCGCATCTGTCAGCGCCACGATCACAGCCACGGATTACCTGACTGTCAATGCGACGTCGCCATCTTGTGGTAGTAAGATGTAATGTTAAAGGCTTCGACAGCAGGAAAATGTGATAACTGGAGAAAATACTTCATCTCTGTGGTGTCTACTTGAACTTGAGGGCCTAAACAAAGGGGGGGGCGTGCCGTGTCACCAAATTAATACCTTTAATTCCAAATTGTCTTGATGGTAACAATTTATTTTATAGACTTGCTTCATTTAATTCACAATTAGAATGTTTATTCTCTATATATGTTAAATTGTTTGTCTGTAGAGAAATTTCAGATTTTCACAGTTATGTTATTATTTAATTGGAATTGGTCATTTATTGTTCATTGTCTATATTTTCCCTGTAATTAATAGTCTACCAAAATTATGACTGTCTTCCCAGGAAATCTCTCAGGAAACTTTTGGGATAAAAGTATGGACCTGTAAAAGTGTCATAATACTCTTTATGGGCCTAATTTCATAATAATTTCCTAGTATGATTCTAGAAAAGAACTAATGTGTTCGTAATCGTAGGGAGAATTCAAATTTCTTTGACATTAGGAAACTTTTCTCCATTTATAATATGGTGTATTGTATGCTTACCTGTAGACAAATGTATATACACATATATTCAGCTGACCTTCTCTGCTCTGACTGAAACACTCTTTAGTTTAACTTCGCAATGAATCAAAATGAATCAGTTATGTTCATTTTTCGTGCAATTAGGATCAAATAACAGAATTCTCTCCAGGAATTTCCTGAAAATGAGTAGGAAACGATTCAGAAACCACAGTCAAACTCACCTCCCAGTAGATGTTGTCCTCATAGCAGATGGTGTCAGAAGGAGCACCGAAGACGGGCAGCTTCAAAATGAAACCTAATTCAAGAAAAGAGACCTTGTCATTGATCTGTACAATCAGAAACACTCTGAATGTTACATACAAGAAATGTAATATTCACTGATACAGTGAGGCCAATATTTGTCATTCTGCCTTAAACAGCTGCTGATGTTGGTTAATGGCTAATTGTTGAGTCAGTCACTGTTGTTTATCATTAACCCATCAGGTCATTACATAATAAAGGGCAGTAAAAATCTTCCTTTTAAAATCGACTTTAGTCAGCCTTCCCAGCCAGTACTGATTTTTTGTGACTTCTAAGTTCACAATAGGCAAAATTTATTTGAAAACGAAAGTTTTTGAGGGTTGTTGGACTATATTTAAATGTGGAGTACCAGCGTGTGGGATTTAATGGTGTCTACTGGTGAAGTTGCAGATTGCAACCAACTGAATAACGCTCGCCTTCCAGGACTCTAGGACAAACTATGGTGTAGTTATAGATCCCCCTAAGAGACACAGACCTGGACCTTTAAGTGCTGTGAGCGCTTTATCAGAATAACTGAGGAGGATGCACGTACCGACAATCAGTCCTCCCAGCAGGGCAATGCCGAGGGTGACAGCAAGGGAAGCGGCCTGAATACCGCCCTGGTAAGACGCATCAACTTCTCCGCTTGCCACATCAGGGAACACGTCTTTCATACTGAAACACAGAGAGGGAAAACAACAAGTCAGCTGAGATTCAACAATCCAACTGTTTGTGGGAAACATATTTTATTATATATTATTATATTTTATTATATATTTTTATTAGTCTCGCTGACAATGAGCTACCAATTGTTCAACTCACATAACAAAATGAAACGCAGGAAGGGGTAAGAGATACAGCACAGTAAACTTTACAGATCACTGATATGGTCTTTTTGCAGGTCCTTGCATGCTGACTTTGCACTAAATGAGGAATGTGAGAGCAGCCTAAAGAAAGCTGAAATCTGTCAGTGCAGTCAGAGTGATGTTATCTGTAACCAAACACTCCTGCAGTCCAACCCACACAAAGATTATCTCATTCAAACGGGAAAAATGTGGAAATTCAAGACAAACCACTGCTGGTGCTTTTGGTCCCTCAGCTGAAAACTGATGAGTTGAGGCTTGTTGAAGTCACTTTACATGTATCTTCTGAACTCACAGGTTAACCACTTATAATCCCTATTAGCAAATGTATTCAGTATGTAGTCTACAAAGCAGACACTTAGCTGACACTGAGACACTGAGTCAACCAAGTTTTACTGAACACGTATATGCTTGAATTTAATCAGTGTTCAACTTTAATTCGTATAAAACACAGCTGCTTCACAGTTTTATTAATGTTTCACTTTTACAGAGAAAGAAATGTGCATTTTGCACAGATGATTGTTTTGTCTGAGAACAAAAGGAATCTTTTCCGGTCCTAATTTGTCTTAAATCTTACATCTTGACCCCACAGTAAAAACTATATCTATGAATATATAATATAAAATATAATAGGAATACTGCAGGAACACAGCAGGCAGAGGGTGTCTCTATGATCCTCTCGCTCTTCTGCTACTTTGATCACGAAGGTGTCACTACTCTATGGACTGTATGGGCTGTAATATAGTACAGAATTTAATATTTATAGTATATTGTTTATATCGTTTAGAGAATATTATAGATCTGAGACCAAAATGACAGACGGGCGGGGCTCAGAAAAAAAAGGCGCAGTAACAAATCCGTTAGATTCACACAAACCTCTTTCAGATAAAGGATTAATGAGTCAAATATTCAACTAAACAACCCCTCTCTCTGCTACTAGGGGAGGTGGCAGGTTGAACCCCCCTCAAATCACCTACTGCCTACAACAGCACAAATTAAATGTTTACCCGTCTCCATAAACATCTACAGTTGCCACAGCAGCAGTCACCGCTCCCACAATGGCACCCAGGATGCCGGGCATGCCATGAAGATTGTGAACCCCGCAGGTGTCTTGGATTTTGAGTTTTTCCTCCAGGACGGGCTGAAAGGAGCAAAAAGAAGGAGCAGATAATGTGGGTTTGTCAGGGCTGTGGATGAAACTGGAGGTGAATTGCAACATCACAGTCTAAAATACACTTATTCCTTTCATTTCTATCAGTTGGTGAACACATTTATCCACAGCACTTCTACTACAGCTTTATGAACACTTTTTTTCAAAAGGCGGCTCTCAGTGGAAATTTAAAACCCACACTACACCCACTTACCTGTATTCTCTGTGATATTTAAATGTAATATCGTGGCAGTGAGTGGTAGGTTTGATTACAGATGTAATGAAATGTATGATCACATCTGCTCTCTAAAATATTCCACATCCATTAATATAAAAAGGGAAAGTGCACTGCTGACACTTCTTTGCCTGTTACCATTACAGTGTTATTAGATTTGACCATTTCACAGCTATTCGACAGCAGAAACAAGTGAAAACACTAACAGATGTCTAGATTTTTTTTTACCGATTAGCTGAAAATATATGGTTTAAAGCCTCTAATTGAATCTACAGAATCCTCACTGACTTAATCATAAAATATAAAATGCTGAATCATCCTTACTGAGAGGTACTTGAAGCCCAGAACAGAGATGATGCCAGCCAAGAAACCGACAATCATGGAGCCGTAAGGTGTCAGCATCATTTCACCAGCTGTTCCCGCTGCGACTCCACCGGCTAGGGCAGCATTTTGGATGTGGACCTAAAGAGGAAAAAAAGGGTGATGCTTAATTTGCGACATTTTTGATGAATTATGGTCATGTAGATGTGGGGGAGGTTTTAATACATAACAGTAAAATACACTTTAATCCTGAAACTCACTGTGCGGCATTGCACCTACTGCAACTACTACTGAATAAATTGAGGACCTATTTCTTCTGGGAATTTGGTGGAAAAGCAACCTGTTTCAGTATATATAGATATTATTACTATATTATACAAAATAAATACAGAAAATGATACAGACACACATAATTTCCCCACCAGAATTGCACTAGAGAAGGCTTTGAATCATAATTTAAACATTTATGTTGAGAAATACAATGTATACACAGTATGACAGTAGCTGAAGAAAAAGAGTATAAAAATAATCTAAAAAATAAAAAATGTGGAGACCCTGGTCTCTGGACGGGGAACCTTAACCCTTTATCGGACGAGGAACCATATAGTAACTTTTTATTACACTTCTATGGCATATTTTGGTTTGGTTTGGTTTTTTATAGGTGATATACCAATATAGCTTTCTTTCACAAATAACTCAA